TCAAACCCCCCCCTCCCAATCTCCACTCCCAGCAGTCAAACCCCCTCCCAATCTGATCAGGATCCAGCAAGATCTCCATAGGGTTTAATGGAGATTGCACTGTGCACTTCAGCTGCAGTTAAACTACAATTCCCATCTTGCACCTGCCTCTGGGAGTCATGCCTGTGGCTGCCAGAGTCTTGCAATGCCTCATGGGATTTGTAGTTCCACCACAGCTGGAGGGCAGAGGATGCCTATTGTTGAGGTAGATAATTACAAGGGACTGACTCTAATTTTGTGACGTTTGAAGAAACGGAAGGGTAAGCAGAAGGCTGTTTTGGCTCTTCCGCTGGTCATCGAGTATAAGGATGGTAGAAAAGTGCTGCCTAATTAACCAATCAAATCGCAGCTGATTTTTTTTTTTTTTTTAGGGGGGTAAACTCGAATGTTACGTAAAAATGTATTTGAGACTCCAGCAGAACCTATAGAAGAGAAGAGAGCCGTCCAGACATAAGAGCTGCTGAATTCCAGGACCAGAATCTGCACCGTGAACATTTTTCTATAACATTCCATGAGAAGAATGAGCCGGGAATTCTACAATATGAAATCAAAGGAACAGATCGGAATTCCTCGGCAATTATATCACCGGGTTCAGTATTTTATCATGGGGGGAGGGGAGGCCGCCGAAAGCTAAAATCCCCACCAAAAAATTCTTTTACTTTCAGGTTGAGATTTATGAAAGGAGCCAAAATGTGTCTTCCCGACTCCTGAATCTGAGAGATCCCAGACGCCGACCACCGGGAGGAGATAGAAAAAATGGAGGCGCTGACCGGCAAATAAGTTTGTTTACCATCTTTATCATTCATTTTTTTTTTATATTTAGTCATATTTTTCTTTCCATATGATATATGGGTCACTTATTTTTTGATGAATATTTATTATTATTTATCAATATGTATTATTTTCTAGATGTGATTATAGGGCAGGTCTACCTCTGCAGTGACAGGTACACTTTAATATGGCATCAAGCAAGGGGCTCTGAAAATGAAATCGTACCTGTCTGAGGTCCATCAGGTCGGCCAGCTCATTTTCATAGTCGGCGCCGTCCTCGCTGTAGTGTTCCAGGATAAAGTCCTACAAAATGGCAAAGAGGCGACTTTCATATCGATTTACAGAACGTGAGAAGAAACAACGTAACGATAAAGACACATTCTGAACGGCTGGCGGGATGACGTTTTCTATGAAGTTCTCACTCCCCACAGAGCCGTCTTAGCATGCATGTCCATGTATTACCCAAATTTAGGACATACCTCCCTTCCCCCTCTAGATCATGTCCCGCCATCATTTCCTTCTATTACCTTGACCCCTTTATAACTCCCTATGACATCACTCCCTATGACATCATTACCAGGCTTGTAAAAAAAATCCTGCTGGGCAGGCTGCTGGAGGAGTCAGTTCCTATTGGCATAGGCATACCCAGAACTACGTCTCCCAAGAGCCCGTTCTTTACACATAGGAGTCCATTTATAAAAGATTTGCATAATTTATTCGTCCCGCGAACTGCATGTAAAAAAAATATATGTCTGTGCAAGTTTACCAGCTGTTGTGAGAATGAGGCAACAATGAATGTTCTTAGTGCGAGTTCTCTTCTGGTTGAATGTTCTTCAATAGGTTCATTTACACAGAACAGAGTGAATGGCGGAAATACCACATTATGGCCACTAGATGGCGCCGAGGATCACAGGAAATAAATATGCGTCAGTAAGGAGATACAATGTTACAATTCAATTGATCGTTGAAGGGAATGAGAATATAAATGTAACCGTTGATACTATGGGGAGAGCAATGGTTACATTTGTATGGTCGTTCTTGCCAGTGTTCTCTCAAATTGCAACATTGAATCTTGTTACTGACCTTCTTTTCCCTATGATCCTCAGCTCCCTCTGGTATTTTCCCCTATTCACGATGTTCTTTATGAATGAACCTTCTGAAGAACACTCGACCAGAAGAGAAATGACACTCGGAACATTCGATTTTGCCCCATTGTCCCCAACAGCTGGTTTAATGTCACACAACATGTACCTGCAGCCTGGCACATGTTTTCCTCAATAGCCCCCAGAGTCTATGGGCCGGCTCTTGGGTGCCAGGGCGGAAGGATTGGTTAGCTAGGAAAGAAATCAATGTAGGTTTAGGTGGAATTCTGTAGTCTGGCTGGAAGGGCTGACAACACTGCTAGGGATTTCCGTGCAGTAGATGCAGCGTGGTCAGCCTTAAACAAGGAGTTAGGAACTCTCCGGATTTCTGGCGGATCCGCAGCTATTCTTCTGTACTTGCAGCATTTGTAATGGGATAAAACAGAGAAATGTACTTGTATTGCAGAGAGGAACTAAGATTGTAGAGGGATCAGCCCGGAATCTCTGGATAGAGAGGGATCAGCCCGGAATCTCTGGATAGAGAGGGATCAGCCCGGAATCTCTGGAAAGAGAGGGATCAGCCCAGAATCCCCTGATTGTATAGGGATCAGCTCGGAATCTCCTGATTGGAGAGGGATCAGCCCGGAATCTCCTGATTGTAGAGGGATTAGCCCGGAATCTCCTGATTGTAGAGGGATTAGCCCAGAATCTCCTGATTGTATAAGGATCAGCTCGGAATCTCTGGATAGAGAGGGATCAGCTCGGAATCTCTGGATAGAGAGGGATCAGCTCGGAATCTCTGGATAGAGAGGGATCAGCTCGGAATCTCTGGATAGAGAGGGATCAGCTCGGAATCTCTGGATAGAGAGGGATCAGCTCGGAATCTCTGGATAGAGAGGGATCAGCTCGGAATCTCTGGATAGAGAGGGATCAGCTCGGAATCTCTGGATAGAGAGGGATCAGCTCGGAATCTCTGGATAGAGAGGGATCAGCTCGGAATCTCTGGATAGAGAGGGATCAGCTCGGAATCTCTGGATAGAGAGGGATCAGCTCGGAATCTCTGGATAGAGAGGGATCAGCTCGGAATCTCCGGATAGAGAGGATCAGCTCGGAATCTCCTGATAGTATAGGGATCAGCTCGGAATCTCCCGATTGTATAGGGATCAGCTCGGAATCTCCCGATTGTATAGGGATCAGCCCAGAATCTCCCGATTGTATAGGGATCAGCCCAGAATCTCCCGATTGTATAGGGATCAGCCCAGAATCTCCCGATTGTATAGGGATCAGCTCAGAATCTCCTGATTGTATAGGGATCAGCTCAGAATCTCCTGGTTGTATAGGGATCAGCCCAGAATCTCCTGGTTGTATAGGGATCAGCCCAGAATCTCCTGGTTGTATAGGGTTCAGCCCAGAATCTCCTGATTGTATAGGGATCAGCCCAGAATCTCCTGATTGTATAGGGATCAGCTCGGAATCTCCCGATTGTATAGGGATCAGCCCGGAATCTCCCGATTGTATAGGGACCAGCCCATAAGCTCCTGATTGTATATGGATCAGCCCAGAATCTCCCGATTGTATAGGGATCTGGCTGCTGTATTTTCTTGGAATGATCCGGTTTATCTCATTTCCCGCAGGGCCGGGTTAATCCTGAACAAACATTTCTTCCGAGCCCATTACGTCTTCGGGGAACAGCCCAGAATGTTCTGTGATAAGTAACCGCGGTGGAATTTTTATGGTTAGGTCATGTTTGTCAGGTTCTCCACCTTTTGTATCATTATCTTTAATCCCCTTATCTTAAACCAACCTAAGAATTCCAGCGTGTTCAATCCACAGAGAGCCGAGAAAGCCAGAATGGGAGGCGTGATTTTATTTCTGGGCGGACGGATATTTGCGCAGTTTTGCTTGGCCGCAGATGGGAGAGATTTTTAATGAACGTTCCACAAACAATAAAGCTGAACTCCGGGTGTGAACCTCATGAACATGTCAGCACAGCCCCTTGTATTCTCTATCAGAAGCCCATGTGACAGGGTGTCAACACAGGAGAACAGTTAGGTGACAGGGACAGAGCGTTGTCACCCTATCATAGGAAGTCCCTGAACAAGGACAATCAAGGCAGGATCACTAAAAGCCCCTGTGACAGGGTGACAACACAAGAGCGCAATTGAGTGGCAGGGACTGAGCGTTGCCACTAGGGATGCACAGATACCGGTATTTTGGTACCGGAGTACCGATAATTTTTTTCTCCGTACTCGCCGATACCGAATACCGGAAGACCCATTCAGGAAGCCAGGCGGTGCGTAATGACGCAGCTCCCGGCTTCCCGATTAGCAAGGAAGTCGGCTTCATGCGCCTTCGTCATCTCATGATAAGGGAGCATGGAGCCGGCTTTCTGGCCAATCATGGAAGCCGGGCGCCGTGTAATAACGTGGCGCCCTGCTTCCCGATTGGCCGGGAAGCCGGCTCCATGCTCCCTTATCATGAGATGACGAAGGCGCATGAAGCCGACTTCCTTGCTAATCGGGAAGCCGGGAGCTGCGTCATTACGCACCGCCTGGCTTCCTGAATGGGTCTTCCGGTATTCGGTATCGGCGAGTACGGAGAAAAAAATTATCGGTACTCCGGTACCAAAATACCGGTATCTGTGCATCCCTAGTGGCAACGCTCAGTCCCTGCCACTCAATTGCGCTCTTGTGTTGTCACCCTGTCACAGGGGCTTTTAGTGATCCTGCCTTGATAAAGCCGGGCAGCGCGTCATTACACGCTGCCCTGCTTCCCGATTGGCTGGGAAGTCGGCTCCATGCTCTCTCGTCACAAGTGATGAGGGAGCATGGAGCCGGCTTCCCGGCCAATCAGGAAGCCAGGCAGCGTGTAATGACGCGCTGCCCGGCTTACTGATACAGGAAGTATCGGGCCAGGCATCGGAGCATTTGGGCGAGTATGAGTACTCGCCCAAATACTCGGTATCGGCACCGATACTAGTATCGATATCGGTGCATCCCTCGTTGCCACCCTAGTGTCTGAACAAGGACCGTCATGGCAGGATCACCAGGGATCAGTATAATGAAAGCTGCAGCTTTGAAAAGATCGTAACATATTAGCACTTCAATGAGATTTTAGTGACCTTCAGGGCAGGATCACCGGAAGCCCACGTGACAGGGTGACAACAAAGGAGCACAGACAGTGACAGAGACTAGGTGTTGTCACACTGTAACAGGAAGTGCTTGACCAAGGACCCTCATGGCAGGATCCCCAGGGATTACGGTAATGAAAGCTGCACCGATTGGTATGACATTATGATTGTTGGAGCTTGGAGGAGATTTCGGAGATCTCTCCAGTCACGGTCTTACTTGTCTGCACTCGTATCTCAGATTCATTTCCATAAAGGTGACGTCCACTTTGGAATTCCTGTTTGATAACTCGGCAGCCATTGGAAGTGCTGACAGCGCAGGGCGGAGGTGTACAGGGAAGGACTCCGCTCGGGGAAATCTTCCGGGCTCCGGGGAGTAACGGCGTGACTCACCTCCAGATACTACATCACCCGTCATCTCCCCATGACTCCGACCGGCTCAGCCAATCAGCAAGCCAACCTCCTCATTCTAAAATTAGATCCCTCTCTGCTGGCTAAAAATAGATCCTTATAATACACTGTGGAGCAGCAGCCTGAGGACTCCAGCTACTGTGGAACTACAAGTCCCATGAGGCATTGCAAGGCTCCGACAGCCACAGAGAAATAAAAGGGACATAAAACAGTAATAAGCATTAAGTCTAAAAGGTCTAAACAATCCCCAAATCCCGCCTCCCCCCACCCCCCAATCAGGCTGGGGAGAAAAGCACTAGATGATGCCGGACCTCCTTCATCCAGGAAATGAGGCGGCTCTATCTGACTTGCTGCAGCTTCTAATACACATTGTGAGGAGCTCCCAGCGTGGAGTGACATCAGAGGAAGACGTTTCAGTCCAGGAGAGGAAGGACGAAGGTCAGATAGAAGACTGAAGGGAAGGACGAAGGTCAGATAGAAGACTGAAGGGAAGGACGAAGGTCAGATAGAAGACTGAAGGGAAGGACGAAGGTCAGATAGAAGACTGAAGGGAAGGACGAAGGTCAGATAGAAGACTGAAGGGAAGGACGAAGGTCAGATAGAAGACTGAAGGGAAGGACGAAGGTCAGATAGAAGACTGAAGGGAAGGACGAAGGTCAGATAGAAGACTGAAGGGAAGGACGAAGGTCAGATAGAAGACTGAAGGGAAGGACGAAGGTCAGATAGAAGACTGAAGGGAAGGACGAAGGTCAGATAGAAGACTGAAGGGAAGGACGAAGGTCAGATAGAAGACTGAAGGGAAGGACGAAGGTCAGATAGAAGACTGAAGGGAAGGACGAAGGTCAGATAGAAGACTGAAGGGAAGGACGAAGGTCAGATAGAAGACTGAAGGGAAGGACGAAGGTCAGATAGAAGACTGAAGGGAAGGACGAAGGTCAGATAGAAGACTGAAGGGAAGGACGAAGGTCAGATAGAAGACTGAAGGGAAGGACGAAGGTCAGATAGAAGACTGAAGGGAAGGACGAAGGTCAGATAGAAGACTGAAGGGAAGGACGAAGGTCAGATAGAAGACTGAAGGGAAGGACGAAGGTCAGATAGAAGACTGAAGGGAAGGACGAAGGTCAGATAGAAGACTGAAGGGAAGGACGAAGGTCAGATAGAAGACTGAAGGGAAGGACGAAGGTCAGATAGAAGACTGAAGGGAAGGACGAAGGTCAGATAGAAGACTGAAGGGAAGGACGAAGGTCAGATAGAAGACTGAAGGGAAGGACGAAGGTCAGATAGAAGACTGAAGGGAAGGACGGAGGTCAGATAGAAGACTGAAGGGAGGGACAGAGGTCAGATAGAAGACTGAAGGGAAGGTCGGAGGTCACCTACAACTCATTTAGATAACCAAAACCTTTTTTTCAGGTCTGCCCATTTAAAAAAAAACAGTTTTGGGTTGCCCGACCTGCGCTGCGGCGCTAGTCACGCCCCCGATCACAGATTTCTCGATAGCCCTCGGTTATTATCTCGTAGACGGTGTCACGTGATTTACAAAGCAAACATCTCCCCGAAACAATCCGAAATATTTTTCTCTTACCTTGAACTGAGTGGTGAAATCGACGTCTTTTGTCTCCTTGAGGCCCAGAGGGATGAGTGGAATGCTGGAGGATTGCCTGCAATACAGAACATACCCGAGTCAGAGCAATGCGGGGCCCATGGCAACCCTACAACGGGGCCCTATAGATGTGTAAGAAAAATAGATTGGGGGAGGGGGGGTCAGCAGTGCCATATGACCTTGACCGATCGTGGAGATGACTGGATTGACGTCTGTGGACTGAACGGGGCATGCCAATACACAAAGACGAGAGCCACAAGCCCAGACCTGCCTTATCAAAAAAGTTACTTAAAGGGTTACTCCACTTGCACACTATTTCCTGTCACTGCCCCTTTAAAATGGGATGTAATGAACTTGTCCGTTTTGCTCCTTTTTGCTCGGTTTCTCTCTCCATCCTCATTCTATGAAATGATCTCCGGGGTAAAAATCGATCACCCCGGGGGATCCCACATATGAAATCGCGGAGTGTTCCCTCATTATCCAACGAGGATATTGGGAGTGTGAGTCACCCAGGGAGCGTCACCGGCAGATTATAGGAGGGGGAGAGGGTGACGGGTTATATTAAACTGGGTTATGTGCTATAGTTATCTCTCAGTACCTCAATAACACTTTACTTCGGCGCCACACCCAGCGCCCAGGAATGCGATGCACATGCTACTCATCGTGTGCACACACAACTGTAAACACGGGCCGTTCGGTAACACCCGACTCGGCTCTATCCTTCACGCGTGTGCCAGAATTCGCCTTTCCGGAGAGTAACATTGTATGGAGGAGCAGAGTACAATGTATAATAATGATTATTATATATCGTGTTGCCTTTGCTTGCTCTAGGGTCTTGGAGCATCCAAAAGGACCAAAAATATCCAAAGCCAGCAGGTGACCCGGCCCGTCAGGGAGGTTTTGGATGGAGTGGCCCTTTAAATCTACACTGCAGGACGTTACCTTTTACATATCATGGAGGTTTTATGTAATTATTATGATTATAATAATATTATATATCTTTTTGCTTTTGCATGCTCTAGGCTCTCGGAGTATCCAAAGGACGAAAAATATAAAAAGCCAGCAGGTGATTGACCCATCGGGGTCCAGGGGACAGTGGTTTGGGGTGAAGTGGCCCTTTATACCTACACTGCAGGACAATCAACAAACAAAAACACACATCAATCTCGATGCCTCACCAGTGACGAGCAAGTCTCCTCCCCCCCTTCACGCTAGCTTGGTGACCAGGTTGGGAGGACAGGGCTTCGGCGGGATGGGGGATGAGGCTTCAGCGGTCTGGGGGCATGGCTTCGGTGGGCTGGGGGCGGGGCTGTAGGAATGTCTCACCCATCACGAAAGCCAGCAGGTGACTGACCCATCGGGGTTCAGGGACAGTGGTTTTGGATGGAGTGGCCCTTTAGAACTACACTACAGGACGTTACCTTTTACATATGATGAGGTTTTGTATAGTGATTATTAGAGATCGTGTTGCCTTTGCTTGTTCTAGGCTCTTTGAGTATCCAAAGGATCAAAAATATTCAAAGCCAGCAGGTGACCCGGCCCGTCATGGAGGTTTTGGAAGGAGTGGCCCTTTATATCTACACTGCAGGATGTTTATTTTTTTACATACGATGAGGTTTTGTATAACGATTAGATATATTTTTGCCTTTGCTTGCTATAGGCTCTCGGAGTATCCAAAGGATGAAAAATATTAAAAGGCCAGCAGGTGACTGACCCATCGGGGTCCAGGGGACAGTGGTTTCGGGTGAAGCAACCCTTTATACCTACACTGCAGGACGTTTCTTTTTACATATGATGAGGTTTCGGGGGCAGAGGTTAAGGTGCCTATGAATATAGAGCCCTTGTGCCCAATCTGCACGTGTGGCCCTTCAGTACTTGTTGTACAGCCCTTGGGACTATCAGTCTGCAGTGGGAGTGGTAGCTTGCTATAGCAGGATCTCTACTAGCCTCATGTAACATGTCCTTGGTCTCTCAATGTCTTCTAAAGCCTACCCAAGGGTCACCATACACCTAGCAACCCGCGCATTCAATGTATGTACAATCATCTTTACCAAAACTATACAATATGAGCACCTGACTAATCCAACTAATCAATTTGTATCCAATCAGGCCCTACAGGGGATTGTCCAATCAGACTGGAACACGTGTGCTCATTTATAGTTCACAAGTATCAGTTGTGGGTGTTTGCGCCCAATAACTCAATTTACAGGTATGATGTTGTAGCCCTGATGAAGGATCTCTCAGAACCGCCCCCCCGAAACGCGTTGAAAGTTTGAACAGCCCTTGTGATTGGTAAACAGTTACATGTTGCTTTGTTTCCTTTACACTATATTCATTTTCCCGGCACATATAGTAGGACGCGCAGGCTGCACATTTCCCATTCTCACAGGATTCTTCTGTGACAGGTGCACTTCACAGGAGGTATTTGTTGTTGGGAGCGAGTGATGGCTGCTCTGCGCATATCTGTCAAACATGCAAAATACCGAGAATTGTAGCTTTTATCTTATTTTTCTGGGGGGTTTTTTTCACCTTTCGACATCGTTGTGAACATTCGTGGATAAAAGGCGGCTCTTCGGGTCACACGCATTGCTGCGGCTCTTCGGGTCACACGCATTGCTGCACAGCAAGCA